CCTCGCCACCCTTCTGCCCGACACCCAGGCCGTTTGTCCACCATCGCCGTCGCCGGAATCGAGGTGAAATGCCATTTTCACGCTTCGTCGCCCGTCGTTGTGGTCGAAACGACGGCGGCTGGCCGGTGCATCACCACCGCACCGCAAGTGTTCGACGAATTGCCTAGATGAGTTTTTTCGTTCGTTTCTTTTTGAACCGACCATTTGGATTGAACCTAGCCGTTTGAATTGTAGTTGAAGAGGTTGAGCAGAGAGCCATGCCAAGATCATGAGAGACTACTTTGCTCCAAAACCAAACTGCTTGCAACTACTCGGTCAATGGGCACTCCGAAACCAAACTGCTTGCAACTACTCGGTCAATGGGTACAACTACTCTGTTGGTTAGTACCTTGTGGATGGCATCTATCCACCATGGGGCACATTGATCTTATTGAGCATAGCAATGTCATAGCGCTTTCTAGTTGTTCTATCACATGTTATTTTTTATATGACCATTTGGTGTGTTCAGATTTGAATAATTTAGTTTGTAAACTTTGAATTCAGTTTATAAACTATATCCGTGATTTGCTTGAACATTCATATTTATGTTTATTTTTATATATGTGTGCTAATATGTAGTTGCAATGTACACTAGAATTGCATAAGTTTAGAAAAAACAAAATTTTACTCCATTATATATTAGGAGTTGAGTAAAACTTAGTGGAGTTATCAATACTTTGATCACTATACCGGTTATTCTCGTTATCGGATTTGTTCTCTTTACTCGTGTTTGTGTTCCGATATCCCGTGATCATAGTCACCAGTGTCTGAACAGACGATAAAGATATAGTAAGACCAAGTGGGCTTAGAGAGTATCTCTCTACCATGAGAGGATCCCGGTCTTGAACTATCGGTACTGAGACATATTTTTCCAGTATACTCGTAAGTCACCTTTATTCACATCCAGTTACGAAGTTACATTCGGTAACCCCAAAGTAACCATTCGGTATGTTGATATACAATATTCTCATGGTCTAAGGAACTAGGCAATCATGAAAACTTTATATGAAATTAGCAATAACATAACAACAAAAATAGCTCTCAGTAATTCATATGTTGGGTCCATAGTCAGAAAACATCATAAGCTGGGTCTATCCAACTCCATTGTTCCAACGATGATGGTGTTCTCATTTATTGATAGCATCCTAACAATGCTCATGATCAGGGAAACAATATCATCGTCAATACATGAGCTAGTCTCTGAGGCAAGACTAAGGATCAATTGGTATTTACATTTCCACCCATGCATTTGGTTTTTCCTTTGGATATTATATTCAATAACCAATACAACTATAGCACATAAATATAAACTTAATAATGAACATGGAAATATAATAATACATTTATTATTCCCTCTAGAGCATATTTCCAACAAACAATGTGGTTCGAAAATGGAAGCTCCAATAGTTTAGGGCAGTCTCTAATAAGCAGTACTTGCAAAAGGGAAAATAAATGATGAGTGTCATGTGATGGTATCCACTTTTCAAAACTTCCCAAGCCAACAAGTTCAAGAGCTATTATCCTAATAAAGCTTTGCTCTATAAAAAACTCCTTCATTATGATAATATGCTTCAATATTACCAAGCGACACCAATGAGCTGAAGAGAATGAAGAGATTCAACAATGAACTTATCACCTAGCCGTGTTGGACAAGAAGAGCCTCTCCGACCATTAATGCGCAACTCTTGAAGTTATCTATGTGGTTGAAGGCTTTCAAGAATGATTGCTCGACACAAGGCTCGGTATTAGACCGCTTAGTATCCCAATCTAATGTAACCTCTCAAAGTAGATTGTCTCTATCGTTTTTGCTTTGTTTGATTCTTCTTTCGTGTGTATATTCTCAAGGTTATAGATGCTAAGCTCCCTTACTTTGGTTAAATGCGCTAGTTGATTTGCTTCACATCCTTTACTTTCCCCATTGAGTCTAGATACTTCAACTCTTCTAGGAGTTTGACTTTTCCCACATTATAAATATCAAAATGAAGCTCATCACATGGGGTATAAAAACGACATAATTTGCTAAGGTTGCTCAAGTCTCTCGAAAAATCATGACAATCGTACCATGAACGTAGATCTAGGACACTTTATTGATAAAATGTTGGAATAGAAGGTGGTAATTGTAGGGGAGAGACTAATTTTTCTTCAATCTAAGCCCTCTATTTGTTTTTCCTTCATAGATATGTCCAAGGCAGAAGGCCATGCCCCCCTCCCCCGGGCCCAAACTACACTAAACTTCACCGTTGGCCCCCGGACATAAGTATCATTGGCGGAAAGGTGCTGAGAAGTTAGGTAACAAGGACTCCATAGAAGTTGGCATGTTAGTGAGACGAAGAAAACGAAGAGCACTTGCTTGCCTAAACGAATCACCCAAAATGTTGGCCAAGCTTTCGTCAATTTCTACAAATAACATTGTAATATCATAAGTTTTTCTAAAGGGAATTCAAATTTTCTTAAATTTTTTGATATTGGTTACTATTAGCTAAACTTAGGATATGTGTTTGTTTGAATTGAATAAAAGTGTGGCTCAAATAATAACCTTGAGGATTATTAGAAACCCCAAATAACCATTAGGGATCATTCAAAAACTTAAGAGTTGAGCCACATGTTGAGTGTGAGCTCGTGTGCTTGTCTAAAGAAGGAAATAGTTCCATAAAGCCCACACCAATAGTCGAAACCCCAATTCAAACTTTCAAAAGTTAAAAAAGAACTCTAAAGGGGTAAGTTAAGGAAGTGATTAAAATGCTAAAAGAATTTGAAAAAAATATTAACAAATATTTGAAATGGGCAGGATGGGAAAATTCAGGAAATTCAAATAACAAAGGAAGTCCAACTTGTAAGTGGAAATGAATCAAATGGAAAAATGTCAAACAAGGATATATAAAAATATGGTCAGAAAATAGTTTACCAAAGGGCCCTGAATAAATGTCTAAACTTATGTAAACACTTCTCAATGACTATAGAACAAGTTTGTTTTGAAATAAAATGGTAATTAAAATCAGAAATGAAATTGGAGAGAAAACAGGAACCAGAAAGGAAATAAAATAAAAAAATCCTAACTAACCTAGATTAATGGACGTTTCTTTTGGTGGCCTTTTTAGGCTTCTAGAATAAGCTGCCCTCTACCCGGCTTATTCTAGAAGCCTAGTAAAAAATATTTTTTAGAAGGCTACTAATCAAGTCTTAATTAGTAGATTTTAAAAAAATGATTTTTTTGAAATAAATAAATAAATTTGATTGGACTTCTAGAATAAGCTAGGAACGGGGTAGCTTATTCGAGAAGCCAGTAAAAGAACTGACCCCAAGGGCCCAACCCACCTGAAGAAGCAGCATCCCAATGCAGCGCACCTCGCCTCACAGCCCCTCTCCCATTCTCTCGCTGACAGGTAGGGCTCGTGCGTGAGCTTCTCCACCTACCTCCCGCGCACTTAAAAAAAAACCTCCTGCGCACGACTCGCCACATGACCGTGGCCACGACTTCACGATCTCCATTCCCGGCGCTCGATCAGCCGAGTCAAGTTGCCATGGGTTTACTCCACCAAGAGTTTACTCGGCCGGATCCTCCTTTATTTATAGGGGATCGGTTAGACTTGCCGTTAGGAGGGAGGAGGCTACAAGTGGCGGTCTGATCTTCTTGACCGTTCGTTTGCCACTACATTTTTACTTAATTTGAAATAGGCAATCTTGTCGTCCGTTTGTTTACCAATACTTATTTAAATTTGAAAAACAAGTTATAACAAAAATACTACTAGTAGGTAGGGTAGGATTGTACCATCAACTATGTTGCTTTTGGAGCATGTACAAAGGTATAGTACCGTCGATGGAGCACAAACCTGCAATTTTAGGCTGAGAAACCCCACAGACGTTTACTCTACAAAAAGAAAACAAACATTTTTTTAAATAGCAGGCGAACTATTCGACCAAAATTCAAGGCATTTCAAATAAATTTCCAACTTCAAAAATCGAAAGTCTGCAATCTGCACCCCAGGCACACCATTCCAGAGTTTTGACGCCCTTCTCTGCTCTGCTCCTGGACCACAGTAGGAACTCACACTGCCTACTTTTCCAACAAAATCATTGTTCACATCCCAAAAAGTTAAATACAATTCGACCCATTATTCAGATCAGTCAGTTTTCGCCGGCGGGGGACTTATACCCGATTTATTTTACCCCACGCGCATTATTACAAAACCCATAGGATTTTCGGCGAATTTTTATTCACCTAACAAAACTTCGCTCGTCTGAACTTTACTGATGACGACTCTACAGC